GACAAGTCCCCTTTTCCACATATTTTGGTATAGATCTATCTTTTGCATGGATAAAGTTTATGCTATGAAATTAGCAAGACTGGAAGTAACATGTCCTTTTTTGTATTTCATCCCATGGTATCAAGAAGGAAAACATACTAGCAAATGCAAGAGTTAGACCTTCAGCTTTATCTTTGCTGTGAGACTAACCTCAAAGTTCTGAGTTTCTCAATTATCAAAAAAAAAAAAAAGAGAAAGCTGATCATTTAAAACTTTTAAAATTTCAAATACGCATGATCATACCAATACTGTACAGATCTAATCTTTTAGCTGTATCTAATTAAAATGCAAATAATCTATTTTAACAATAAACCGAGAATTGGTAGCACGTGTAAAGACTGTAGACTTCAGAATCTGAATGCAAATGTTTATACATGCAAAACTAAGGAATTAAAATTAGACTTTAACATATAAACCGTAGGGTATGTGTAGGTCTCCAAAGAGATATGATATGACTGATTTTCTAGGAAAATGACACTGGCAGCAACTTCGATCTTGGATCTTAGTGAGGAAAGACTAATATAACAGCAGCTACTGTTGAAATCAGAGGTAATGGCCGAAAGTAGTAGTAGTGAAGACAGAGAGAAACCAGATGAAGAGAAGCAGCCATCTGACAGAATCTGCAGACCTACACTCCTACACTTCTTAAATGTCCCTTACAAGTGACAAGTCCCCTTTTCCACATATTTTGGTATAGATCTATCTTTTGCATGGATAAAGTTTATGCTATGAAATTAGCAAGACTGGAAGTAACATGTCCTTTTTTGTATTTCATCCCATGGTATCAAGAAGGAAAACATACTAGCAAATGCAAGAGTTAGACCTTCAGCTTTATCTTTGCTGTGAGACTAACCTCAAAGTTCTGAGTTTCTCAATTATCAAAAAAAAAAAAAGAGGAAGCTGATCATTTTAAACTCTTGAAAATTCTAATACGCATGATCATACCAATACTGTACAGATCTAATCTTTTAGCTGTATCTAATTAAAATGCAAATAATCTATTTTAACAATAAACCTGTTCTGAAAAAAGCCCTATGTACTACTGTACCTTTCGTATATTTGTATCTCCATGAACTTACTACATTCGTGAAGGATTTCTTGTCATAAAGATATGTAGTCACTAACCACTCATCTGAAACCCTGAGACAAAAACTGAAACTCTGTATTACAATGTCTGTCGCCATTTCACTTTCAATTACTATGCATCTTTCAAAAACCACATCTCCAAAAAGGGGCATTCTTTCATTGGAGTCATTCAAGAGACTAAGTAAATGTCTGCCTAGTTGAATAGTAGTATTGTTAGGTACAAATTTTCAGACATAATACTATGCTATGGAATCATGTTTGTCTGAACATCTTGACAAAAGAACTTAATTTTTTTATCAATCAAAATTATATGTTACCAATTAGAGAAATACAGTCTTTGGATTGCTAACCATAAATTGCTATATGTGACTTTTTGCTAATGAAGAAAAACTGTTTTACAAATTCTTGCTCATACTAAAAAGTTTAGAAATATTCTAAACTTGTTTCTGTTCAAACATGACTTTCAAGCCCAATTTAACAAAACAAAAAAGTTGAATCAAAAGACTCATCAAAACAAAAGGCTGAACAAATTACATTTTTATTAAGGACAAAAATCTCTAATGTAAAACATGCATTTTCAACCTATTATAAGTTTATGTACCAAAATTAATAGTCTAAAATCATATTTCAAGGGAAATAAAATTCTAAGGTTTTGTAAACTATAATATTAAGCTATAAACAAAGGTTTTTCTAATATGTTATGTTTAGTTATTTATTTCCAATGTTTCTTCTAAAAATCTAAACTTTTTTTGACTATATACTACACTATATATCAATACATCAGAATATATTCTCTGTGATTTCTCTCTTCATCCCTAAAATAGCATTATATATTTTTCTGAGTTAACCAAAAGAAACCTGGAAATAGCTAAACTATAATTTACCAGTTAGTTTATCAGAATGTAAAATCCTTTACTATCCAAATCTGTATCTCAGTTTAAAATCATTACTAAGTTTTTATTCTTTAAAATTCCCATATCAATGAACATAAAGCTAATTCCACTACTAATTCACGAGAGATGTGGGTATTTACTATAAAGCCACAAATATCAACAAGACTTTAGATCCCAGAAGACAAAAACCTTTATTATGCTTTTTCTCACATGCAATAGTGATTTAAACTAAAGCTTTCAGATCCTAAAAATTTTAAAGAATGTTATATTTTGAAAATACACAAATTGATCATACTCTACTAAAGCAACTTTATTAATTCCAATTAACAAATTTCACTCAAGAAAGAAGTATATATAATCAAGAACTTTATTAGAGAGGAAATATTCAAAAAAAAAAGCAGGAATTAAATATTTTTTAAGTCTGTACTATTCAAATGCAATTCAATAGCATCATTCTTAACTATTCTCAAAAGTTGCTTGCTAAAAGAAAGCTATTTTAACAAAAAATTAAAATACAGGGGCCAGCAGTTAGCGTAATGGCTATGTCACTGGACTCCCACGTAATCGACCGTGGTTCGAGTCCGGACCCGGTGGCTTAAACTCATGCTGGGCGCATTTGCATGCATGCCCAAGATCCCGAGAGGAGAATGGAGGAGAAGGGACTGTGGCGTGGCCATCCCCCCTGGGGGGTGATTTCTCACTTTCTGTCTCTCTGTCTCTCTCTGTCTGTCTGGCGAGCGCACACGCCCTATAGCAACAACCTCTCAAAAAAAAAAAAAAATTAAGGGGCCGGCGGGTGGCGTGGTGGTTAAGGATGCTGGATTCCCATATGACTGACCTCCAGTTGCAGTCCGGGACCTGGCGGACCTGGTGGACCTGGTGGCTTGCTTTCTGGCTTTCTCTCTCTTTCAAATAAATAAAGTAAAATGAAATAATTCAAAATAAAATTAAAATACATTCTTCAGGAGCTGGCAGATGGCATAGTGGTTAAGGCACTAGACTCACATGGCCAACCACGGTTCAAGTCCCAGACCTGGTGGCTTGCTTTTTGACTTTCCCTCTGTTTCTCTCTGGTCAAATTTAAAAGAAAAAAGAAAAAAAAAGATAATAATAATCCCTCGTGGGGATGTGGAAGGTAAGGGGTGATTTCTCACTTTCTCTGTCTCTCCCACCAGTGCACATGCCCTACAGCAAAAAATCCCTCAAAAAATAAATTCTAAGAACAAAGAAGATAAATTCTTGAAATTCTAGATTAAGTGTACTACAAAGTTAGCATCAGGAGTATAGAAAAAAACACCCAATTTAAGTTGTAAACACCATATCCAGATAAGAAAACTGGATGTGCTTTCCCTAAATATATCTGGTAAGATTCCCACAGGAACACCAGTAAAACAGGTATAGTGGAGATTCCAAAAACAAAATACAAGTTAATTACAGTACCACACATTCCATGATATGTATTCAAAGATACCTGGTAATTAACTAAAAGAATTATGAGAAACACTTTAGTACCATGGGGCTTATTCAGTTATTACAAGAGAAAAAATTATCTGCAATAATTCTTTACACTTGGGCAGTCCTTCAAATTTTCACACTTCATGATAAAACACTTTATAAAGTTGTGTTGTTGTTTTTAATGAAATTAGCACGCGCGCGCACACACACACACACACAACCTACTCACTTTGGTCCTAGAGTTCGGAAACCGAGCATACCAAACTACAACTGTCCAGAAAGATAAGCAGCACTTCAAATCTTATGTCATTGTGCTGGTAATAAGATTACTCAGAAACGTTGTCCCGTTACAACCCTGAAAACTCTATTCCATAGAGTTTGACCATCTTTAGAATCCAAGCGGGAAAAGCAGATCTTCCTGGCTCCCTAATCCTGGGGGAGGGGCAACTCCTGCCAGGATGGGACAGGAGGTGACGACTGGTTCAAATCTACCCTACTCCCACAGGGTCTGGTTCCACCTGTTCTGCTATAGGAGGTCTTTTGCCCTCCAGGAAGGATAGGCATTCGCAATGTATTATCCAGCTCATCTCCTCGGAGAGCAATCCGCAAAGGCTTCCCAAGGGGTTGCTACCGTTCTCCCTCAACACCCAGGAAAACAAAGATTCAGGCCCAGCTCGTGTCACTCCATATTCCGTACTTGATAATCTAGGTACTCGATAAGCCCCAGACATTTGTCAGAGGATGGAGTGACGAACACAATACTCGAGATATCCAAGGGGGTAGGGGATTGGGGACAGGTACCAAAGAACTGAGCGAACTCTTAAGTTAGCACTTGCAAAACGCAAGTCTGTCCCGAGGTCCCACCTCCGCGGGGGAAAGTGCGGAATTCAGAATGTGAACCTGTGCAATTGGGAGACCGTGAGGTGTCCAGAAGTCACAGGGGCGGGAGAGACAGCACTGTGGGGCCAATGGGATGGCTGGCCCGGTGGACAAGATTGTGGCTGAGCGCAGCCCAGCGGTTCATACCCATGGGGCTCGCGAGGACCCCAGAGCTCGTCCGCCTGACCAGCTCCCCCACGAGGTTTCAAACCGCCGCCCCCGAGAGGCGCTCAGCCGATTGGAAGTTCCACGGCTGTCACTAGCCCAGGGCCGGAGCGGCAACTCATCAGCGCAGCTCTCCCAGCCCTCCGCATCTCCCGCTAAAGCTCAGACCCCACAAACTCCACCTCTAACCCGGGTCCCACTTCCAATTCCGCCGCCGGCTCCATGCACGAGGAGGGCATCCTTCGCGACGGGACAGACGCCCCCGACTGGGCTACGCCGCGGGAGTTCGAGGGGCGCGACGGGGCCGCGCAGGGGGCCGAGCAGAACCGGCGTCCTTCAGAGTCCGCCTCGGGACGCGGCCCCCCGATCACCTCCGCCTCGCCCCCCGGGCACGGCCCGGCCGGGCTCCGGCCCACCCATCCCGCGCGATCGCGGGGAGGGCGAGGACCCGAGCGACCCTACTCCCCCCGCCCCTGCTCTTACCCATCTTTCCGCCTCGCCTTGTAGACGTGCCCGTAGGTGCCGCGTCCTACTTTGCACCCTTCGTACTCAAACAA